CCTTCCTTTTCCTGGTCCTGCGGTGGCATCTCCCCATACCTGCTCCATCTTTCTCTAACGGGTTGAGCTGGTCCTCAGAGCTGAAGAGGGACCCTTCAAAGGGACACTGTAGCCTTCCTTCACCTTTACCTCCCTGTGGATCCTGCTGACGTGGTCATCCCTGTGGCAATCTCCTCCCAAAACCTCACTTCTTCAAATTAATATTAGTTCAGTTCTTTTTAGGTAGCACTGGACAAAAGCTGGATCTAGACCCTTTCTTCTGTAACAAGTTCTTCATAACAAAATGCTCCAATTGAAGACGAGGCTACATCGGGTCTTAGAGAAGAAGGACCAGCGGAGAGGTGTGACTGAGTCTTCTACTCAGTCTGAGGAAGGAGTCTCTTCCATGTCTTAGAGCAGGCAAGACGGTGCTCACACTTCCACCCTCAGAATGAAGTCGCCAATGTACCGTATGTTAATTGTAGAGCTCTAAGATCTCCTCAAAATGCCCGTGGAGAAGTGTATAAAATTATTACTAACTGAATATTCAGAGCAGGTTGACCTTACTCCCTGTCTTAGTTAGGGTTTCTATTGCTGAAGAGACACCGTGACCACGGCAACTCTTACAAAGGGAAGCATCTAATTGAAATGGCGGCTTACATTTTCAGAGGTTTAGTCCATTGTCATCACGGTGCCACACGATGGTGAGCAGGCAGACACGGTGCTGGAGACGGAGCTCAGTGTCCTACATCTTGATCCGAGGGCAACAGGAAGTGGTCTGAGTGTCACACTGAGTGAAGCCTGAGCAAAAGAGACCTCAAAGGCCGCCCCCTCCGTGACACACGTTCTCCAACAAAGCCACACCTCCTAAGAGTTCCTCTCGCCCTGGGGGCTGTTGTCTTTCAAACCACCACACTCCCACCAACAACACATGCATTCACTAAATACATTGTCTTCAGGCGTACTTTGGCTGGAAATCTTGTGAGTGATGTCTCTTTTCTAGATTGACAGGAATGCATAGGACTCTGAACACCTGAGATGTTTCTCTAGTGGAAGCTCAACCATTTCAGTGCCTGAGGTGAGATTTATACAGAAGTTGCTACACCTCACTCTAACTCTATGTCATGGATCATGGTAAAATTGCCTGCGAGACTTAAGCTCTTAATAATAGTCTCTGATTTCTGTCAAATTCATAAAAGGGTCCTAGGCAAGAAGAGACACATACTTCTTTTGTATCACATTCAAAGCCACAGTTTAACTGTGTGAGGAATCCATAATGAAGCTTAGAAATGAACAGAGACAGACAAGTGGAAGGATGGACAGAAAGCTGGGATCCAGGGGTCTGGGCTCTCAGGTGGAGAAACCTCAGAACCCAGAAAGCTCACAGGTCTGTCACAGAGTTGAACAGACCAGGAGGGTTACGCACACAGCTGAACTGGGCAGCAGGGTTTGGGTCCACAGCTGTCTCAGGACACGGCGTTAGCTGATCTTTGTAGGGACAGTCTGTGGAGAGAAGCTGACTTCAGGCCTCGAATATCATGGGTGTGGCGTAGAAAGCTATGGTGGGCATGTTTTGCATACTATCATCCAGCCTTTGCACACGGTTCCCTGAGGAAGGCCTCTTCACCCCCCTGAGCCTCACTTGGGGAAGGCTTTACCACACAGGACCTCACTCATTCAGAGCCTCCTCTGATCCCACAAGTAGCTCTGCATTTTCCTGTAAATTAACAGGGTGGTTTGTGTAACATACACATTCGTGGGAACTTCTTCAGTTTCTAATAAGCATTCTGTGTGGCTGTGACAATCATCCCCTAGAGACTGGTGGGAATGGAGGTAGAGATTCACATTTATCGAACGCTATATTTTCATCAAACTCTTAAAGAAAATTTACATCTCACAAAGTCTATTCATTTAGTTCTGTAACTGATGTTTTATTGATAAGTATTCCGGAATATAAACAACTTGAGTAAATTGCCAACTACTGTGCAGTTTGTAAGTGCAGAATCAGGATTTAAGTCCAGGACTGTATCCACGCCCCCAAACTGACCATGTAGCCCAAGGATGGACTTGAACTCCTGATACAGAAGAGAAACACCAGCATACCCAGCTATGAGATGGTTTTTATTTCTACCTCTAGGGAAAGTCCACTAAATTAATATTTGTTTTTCAACAAATAAATATGGAATATTTTCTGTGGCAGACATGTGTGTAGGCACCCAGGCTGGGTAAACATGGCAGGCCTTTTTAAACAAAGATACTCAACACTATGTAAACATCTCACTTAAAGACACTTATTATTGTGATGTGTTTGTTGTTCATTACTTGAAAACTAAGAATAAACAACAAATCTAAATATCCAGAATGATGGGTAGGTCCCAGCCAAGACTCAGAGAGTACCTCAAAGTCAGACCAACGAGACGCACAGCATTACTAAAGAACAGTATTAGGTCAGGAGTGTCCACAGTGGCAGAGGGTGTTGCCTTGTCCAGGACACATCTCACAACTGACCTCGAGATGCACCCACCTCCGCAAGGTCACCGTGTGGGAGGACACTAAGGATGGGGGGTGTTAATCAGGGTGAGAAAGAGCAGACCTTGGAGACCTCAGGAACCCCAACATCTTTCCAGTCCTGGACGCTCATCCATGTTGAGTTTCTGTGAAAATCAAAGGCCCTGCTGTTTTCCTCAAAGCATTTTCTATCAAGTGTGTAGACCTTTGTCTACACGATCCCTCCTTTTGGAAACTCTAATTTTGAACAAAGGCTGGAAAAGGCACTGGAGATCAGTTTAACTGGAGTCTAGATTTACCCTGGAAGTTGTTGAATTAGTCTATCGTTACCCTTTGTCTTTGATTTTCTGGATCTGTTCCTGGAACCAGCAAGAGGAAGCAGAGCATTCCGTCCAAACGGCTCCTCTCTGGAGAAGAACTGCATACCGCTGCCATTCCAGCCCGCAGAGGCTCATGGCCAAGTCTCTATGGAACCTGCAGGGTCGGGTGATGCAGGTGGGCACAGCTGAGGGAGGGTCTGTGGTCTTCGGGGCCCATGCCCTTCCCGCTTAGGTAGCAGAATGGACATCTGCCACCTGTCTTGTCTTTGTTGGACCCCAAAGGATCTAGACGAGACTGAAGATGAGACCTCTCGAGGTGGGTGCGGGAGTGGGGAGACACGCTGTGAAGGGTAGGAGAGAAAGGTCTCTCCAAATGTCTCCATGTATAAAGCTACCAGGAAGTCTCTGGCTACGGAGGAAGACGGGCCGTGCCTCTCCCGAAGAAAACAGGATTGGAGAAAATGGATCGCGAAGCTGATGGATTAATTGATCAATCTCAGCCAGGCTCTCTTTGCCCTTCTGGCAGTTTGCTCTAAGGTGAATTGACTGGGTTAAAATTCTCACTTCATTCAAAGCCAGTTGAACAGGAAAATAACAAAAACACAAAAGATGCTTCCAGTTTTGTAAAGAATAAACTAAAGCTGTCGTCCGAAAAAGAACCTCACGACCAAAGAAGCTCTGGTCGCTGTTAGGGATTCCAAAGTCTCCCAGGGATTTATTTATGCCTGACCTGGCGGCGGGGTCCTCAAGCCAGTACAATCCAGGCTGCGGACTTGTGTCTTGGCTTAGCTTGACATTTGGTATTTTAAAACACGAGTATCTTAACTTGTAAGGTGATTTAAGTACTGGATTTTGAGTTGCACAGACTGGGTGACCGCAGCCGGAACCCGAGTGGCCCACTCCGGGTCGCCAGGGGGAGGCTCTAAGGGTGAGGCTTGAGAAGAAAGAGTGTGGGGTCAGGCCACTGAGTCAGGGGAGAGAGCAGGGCCAGAGGAAACGTCCTACAGCTTCGGGGTGGACGCATCGATCTCAGTTCCGGGGTCAAGAATGACCGGTCGCTGGCGCCCTGGGGCGCGGGGGAGCCACCCTGCGGCCACCGGCTTCCCCGGAGCGGGACGTAGCGAGGTGCCCAGAGGCTGGGGCACACCCAGATGCCCGGGTTCCCCTCGGAGGAAACCACCTATTGACACCGTGAACTTGAACCCTGGTGAGGGCAGCATTCCGCCCCGCAGTGTGCGCCCCAGGGCCTGCGCGTTCAGCGTGGGCAGCCTTGGAAGACGGGGCCGCTCGGATCCCAGGTGAGCCCCGGACCTGCTCGTCACCATGTAAAATGCCTCTGGATTTCGTCTGTCCGAAACCGATGGAGAGGGCAGGTGCGCAACTTTCACGACGTCTCTCAGAACCGTCCTTATGTGTGGTTTCCGTAGTGTAGTGGTTATCACGTTCGCCTCACACGCGAAAGGTCCCCGGTTCGAAACCGGGCGGAAACAAATGGTTCTTTTTACCCGGAGCTACAGCCTTTTCATATGGTGATTGTTTATGATCAGCACACTAGGGGAAACCTCCAGAACGGAGAGTTCTGTTGTGCTGGTTGTGAGTACTGATGGTTTGTGGTTCTAAATGCAACACGATGGCTTGACTCCCCAAAGCCTTTGAGGCTTTTGATGGATGATCAGGGTTAGACGAGATCACGACAGTTCCACCCTCAGCACTAGGTCGGTGTCCTTAAACGAAGAAAACCCCTTACTGGGACTAGGCGCCACAGCTGCTGGAAAAGGAAACATTCCAGTTGTTTAAAATGTAGGTTTTGATACTTTGTTACGACAACCTGGGCTGAAAACCCCCGGTTCTTGAGAAAATCCGCTGGCTTGGCACTAGGGGAAGTTCCGGTCCTTAGTGGATTTCAGTGCCGGTGAGAGGCGAGAGAATGGACCTGGAGGGCGGAAGGGAGCCGATGTTCGCGCGCAGGCAGCAAGTGGGGTCTGCCGGTGAAATGGTGAGGAGTGTGCAGGTGAGGAGCTTTGCGTGCCCAGCTCCACCTCCACGGTGACCTGCCTGACCTCGACAAGTGAACGTCACCGCAGTCTCCTGCACGGAGCAACTCGGAGTCACGGTGACATTTGGAGGGAGGGTCGTGAGCTTCAGGGAACAGGACGGTAGAAACGGGCTTTAAAAGAGTCCCCGACAGCTTTCCTGCTTACCTGGCGGGGAAAAGACCACGGTCGACAAGGTGGTTCTCCTCGGTGAGACTCGCACCCCTGCTCTCCGGGGTCCTGATCCACGCGGCTCCTCCAAAGGCGGGGGTTCCGGCTGCATCGTTTATAGTATTGGCGGACTGCAACAATCCGCTTCTGAGATCCACTCTGACCGTGCTCCTCCCCACTTGGGTCAGGGGTTGTGCGGTCTGTGTGGCTGACTTGGGGTGTGGGGAGTCTCTGCGGGTTTCTGTCAGGCCAGGTCTCTCTAGCTCAGGCGCCGTAGGGTGCAAGGCCCTGCCTGGAAAAATCTGGGCGCACCGTGATCGCCCCATTTCTGTTTCGAAAGAACGTTGTGCTGTGCGAATGAGTTTAGTCCCAAGTGTCTATTCAAAGGACGGGGTCTGCAGACCGGCCGGTGGCCCCGTGCACCACGCTGAGGCACTCGCCCGGTGAGGGGGTCTCCACCCTGTGGGCTCTGGCTGCTGGAACCAGAAGAAGAAAAGCCGCGGGCGAGCCTGGGCGTCGCGCTTCCTTCCCTTAATTCCAGCGCGTCGGTGAGGAGTTGTTAGCCAACCCAAAGAGAACAACAAACAAAACACAGGCTGGGCATTTCAGCTTTCTCCCACGTCTCTCTCCATTTTCTCATAGTCTCCCGACCCCCCGACGTCAAGACCGATACCCTTTAATAAGGCCTTTTCTTCCTCTAACCCCTTGACACGGAATAGCAAAGCACGCGCGGTCTCTCCAGCGCGCTCTCTTCACGCTGCTCTCCACCCAGGAGCCGGAACCAGGGAGAAGCTGCAGGACTTGTTGCTAATTTTTGCATAAAGGAGACACACACAGAAAATCCAAGGTTTCTCCTGACCAGCACCCTGAGATCCCCCTCCTCGCCCGCCAGCCCGGCTGGGCTGCGGCCAGTGGGGTGGTGAGAGCTGGAAAAAGGGGGGAGGATTAAGGGGGAGTCGTGGAAAGAAGTGGGGCAAGTATCGGAGGCACCGGCCAGGTCCAGAGAAATGTGTTCGGATGGGACGAAGAAAAGGAAGACACCAGAGGAAAACGAGGCTCTGTCGCTGTACCACAGTAAAGCTGATTTTAAAACACAAATGTAAATTAAAAAACAAAGGCCACCAAAAAATAATAATAATAAAGGAATTCGTGTTTAGGGTGCCTAGTGGTGATTAAGCGTGAGCCTGCGGCCACGTCGGTTCTGATCTGAGACCTGGTAGTGCCGTGCCCTCTCCTGGGCCCACTGGGACTAACTCGTATATCTTTTGGTGTTGGGTTTTTTGGTTGTTTGGTTGGTTTTGGTCGTCCGTCCCCCCGTTCCCCCCCACACACACCCACACACACTTCACGCACGCCGTCAAAGAGTATTTACCTAGGGAGAGCATTGGGGCATGCGCTGGGAGAGAACACGGAGCCAGCGGGAGGAAGGTGACTTTTTCTTCTTACAGTGAAGAGTAGAACTCTTTGTTCTCTGTCTGCGTGGCGCAATCGGTCAGTGCGATTGGCTGTTAAGCAAAAGGTTGGTGGTTCGAGCCCATCTGGGGACCTCCATGAGCCTGAGATTCCTTGTACTTCTTTCCATTAACACTGTTTTGCTTTTTCAACACTGTCCTATTTTCCAAACAGAACAAGCCAAAGCGAAATTCTTTTCAGGTTCTCAAACTAAGTTGTGTGGGCCGGTGGAACCAAAACTATAATTTGGTGAGATTTCCTTCCGGTTTTTTGCAACTACTACCTGTTCCTCTTCCGTAGACTTTTGACATTTGGTTCCGTGTTTCATTGTTATAAATAAGGACAACAGCCGTTCTTGTGCACACATCTGCGGTCGCTTGTGCAAGTACTTCCGTGGGGCAGAGTCCTGGAGAGCAAGTGTTCAATGCTAGTGGTTAAATTAAAACAAACAGTTGCCTCTTTTGCTGGCTTATTAGCTGTAATTCTTTCCCTGTTTTAACCGAGTCGTTAATGACTCAATTGGATTTAGTCATTTTCAATTTATCATAGTCTACCTTCAAGGGCTATTGCATTATGCATTTTTTCTTTAAAGATGCCATGATCTGCCGGGCGGTGGTGGTGCACGCCTTTAATGCCAGCACTTGGGCTACGGGTCCACGAAAGGTGCCAAAGCTATATATATATATAAAAGGATGCTACAATCCATCTCTATTACTTTTGTTTAAAGTCAGATGTTTTTTAAGGGGATGGAAATAAGAAGACTAGAGATGTTCTGCTTCCCATTTATTTGCATTGGTGTCCAACGTGGACACCCTTTACACTGTTCCTCATTCTTAGTGTGCACACAGATTCACACCTAGCAGCAGCCACTTCCAGCTGGAGGACTCGGCTCTCATGGTGTATGGTGCAGGAGGGCTGGCTCTTCCGGCTTTGCAGGGGTTCCCCTTGACGTCCCTCTCCCAGTCCTTTAAAGGCAGGCCACTGATCTTCGTGTTTTGTGTGTTACCATCACTTATGCCTCTGACTCATTTTGAGATTTTTCTGTTTTTACCAATAGATTTTAGCCATTTAATTCTATGTGCGTAGGTGTGGTTTTCCTGGGGTGTCTGGTGAGTGGGGTTGTTCAAATCCTTAGGTCGGTGAATTAATAATTCTCATTACAATTGGAATATTTTCAATCACTGTTCCTTAAAAATTTTTTTTTTCTTTTCCTTCAGTCCATGTAAGATCCTCAGTTACCGGGTTTTAGACCTCTTACACTGCCCTACTGCTCACTGATGCTCTTTCATAAACCTTTTCTCTTTTCTTTTCTTTCGGTTTTCCAAGGCAGGGTTTCTCTGTGCTGTAACTCACTTTGTAGACCAGGCTAGGCTCAAACTCAGAGATCCGCCAAGCTCCAAGTGCTGGGATCTAAGGCGTGTGCCATCACTTGAAATACAGAGAAACTAAAATTAACTGAATTCTGGAAAGTGACAAGCCCATTCTCAAGAGGGAGAGTTGTGATCTTAGTGTTTTTGTCTTTGTGAACTTCTACTGTAAGTAGGAATCCACAGTGCACTTAAATAAAGCTGTACAGACTTAAACAACTTTGTGATGATAATATGTCAGTAATTGTAACGGGTTAGAATACCAACAAGTTCCGATCACAGATCAAATCATTTCAGGAAGGTAAGTGGTAAAGGAAGGATTCGATCACCCAGAATAGTCCCTGAACAGCCTCTGTTAAAAAGTGTCTGTAAAAAAAAAGTCTGGCCATCACGTCCCGTTCCCCCCCCCCTCCAGTGGCTAGGATTCTGTCCCCTGTCTAGTGGCTAGGATTCTGTCCCCTGTCTAGTGGCTAGAATTCTGTCCCTGTCTAGTGGCTAGGATTCTGTCCCTGGTCCAGTGGTTAGGATTTGGTGTTTTCATCACTGTGGTTCAGGTTTGGTTCCTAGTCAGGGAAGCATGTTTTGTAAACTCAATCCTGGGAAGTGTTCAAAGTTTAGACAATCAAGATGCTGTCCATTGAGGTAGATCATTGAATCTACTCTGAGAAAAAAGATAAAGAAATAATAGGATAAATGGGTAGATCATTGAATCTACTCTAAAAAGAAAAAGGGGAAGATATAAAAATGATAAAAGGTATATTACTGAATCTAGTATGAAAAGAAAAAAAGAGAATATGGATATGAAAAGATAAAAAGGGAGATTATTGAATCTACTTTTTAAAAGGAACTACTTGTTTTTTGTGTTTTTTTTTTTTTTTTTTTTTTTTTTTTTGAGACAGGGTTTCTCTGTGTAGTTTTGCACCTTTCCTGGAACTCACTCTGTAGCCCAGGCTGGCCTCGAACTCACAAAGATCTGCCTGGCTCTGCCTCCTAAGTGCTGGGATTAAAGGTGTGCGCCACCACTGCCCAGCTGGAACTACTTGTTTTAAATAGGATAAGTAATGAAATTTTTTTGTGTGAGTTTATCAAATGTTACTGGACTGGACATTGTTATATATTAATGGAGTTTTTCATCTGAATCTGTCAAATGTTAATGGACTAGACATCGTTAATGTATTTCTTGACTGTATATATTGTACATACTTATTGTATATAGTTTTTCTTGTATTAGTTATAAGCTTTTTTAAAATTTTAGACAAAAAAGGGGAAATGTGATATTGTGTTCCTCAAAATATTGTGCACCCTAATAAATTTATCTGGGGTCAGAGAACAGAACAGCCACTAGACAGACATAGAGGCCAGAAAATGGTGGCACTCACACCTTTAATCCTAGCCTTCTGGAGGCAGAGATCCATGCAGATCTCTGTGAGTTTAAAGCCACACTGGAAACAACCAGGCATGGTGACTCACCCCTTAAATCCCAGGAAGTGATGGCAGAAAGCAGAAAGGTATATAAGGCATGAAACCCAGGAACTAGGCTGGTTAAGCTTTTACGCTTTTAGCAACAGTTCAGCTGAGATTCATTTGGATGAGAACTCAGAGGCTGAGGAAACAGGATCAGCTGAGGAGTTGGCGAGGTGAGGTGGCTGTGGCCTGTTCTGCTTCTCTGATCTTGCAGCATTTACCCCAATACCTGGTTCTGAGTTTGTTTTTTATTGATAAGATCTTCTAAGATTCATGCTACAATCCATCTTTCAGGAAAGGAGAAGTGGACCTCTTCCCTATGACACCTTACTTCAAGCTCCTCAGGGTGCTACAGTTCTCCATTAAGCTTTTCCCGTTTCTGTGTTCCAATTCAACAAGCCTAACGGATCCCCTCCCCTTTCTGTCTCCCAGGATACCAGCTAAAACCCAAAGTGTTTGTCCTGACCCACTGAGCGTTCTTTCTCTGGGTCTGCCATTCCCTCATTGACCCACTCAGGTTATCACAGCCTGGCTAACATTCACGAGGCTCTGGGTTCAATTCTACACAATGAAAAAGAATATACAGGAAAATAGAACTGTATTCATGGAGATAGGAACAATGAGGGACTAAATGCTGAGGCTGGAGGAGTGACTATTCCAGAAGCAATTACAACCAACTTAATTACATGACGGAGGTGTCAGAAGTTAGTGCACTTGAGGAGAGAAACAGAAACCACACACAGGAAGCACCACAGGGGGAATGCGGCAACTTGTCTGAAAATTAACAAAACTTTGGAGCCTGTGGGAGAAATACCAAAAGTTTTAACATTCAGGAAGATGAAGAAAATGTGGAAAAATAGTTGC